TCACTCATAGCCATATAGTTTTGAGATGAGAGCCCAAGGTATTTATATACTTTGACAAAATCTTTTTTTTTTTTTAATTTTCTATAAAACATAGCCAAGTAAAGTAATATGCAAAGGTTTCTTGGGGAGAGTTTGGCATTGGCTTGTTGATGAATGAGGAGCAAAGGACTCAGTTTTGAGGCTTATAAGCAAAGCGTCGTGGGAAGACAATCACGAGGATAGTGATGTGGACCTCTAGGGGAGAGTCACTAGATGGTTGCTAGATGGTTGTTCATTCACTGAACTTTGTTCGATGACTTGGTGTTAGACTTTGATTCACTGACCATGGGGGTGCTGTTATTGGCTAGCTAGCTGTACGTAGTTGTTGACATTAATTATAGTTTTCAAATTATCTAACCCGATCCCATACTGACATCTTTAAAATTGAACTCCGGTTTTGGGTTTTTTTTAAAATTACTGTATATATATAATTAAATTAGAAAGGTAGTGGGAAAAGAAAATTTTAAAAATGACAAACGAAGTTAGACATTGGTTGCAGCCATTAAGAATCCTAAGTAATGAAAATTATTTGGGTTAAAATAATTTAGTTTTGTGTTTTGACAAATTTAAAGACAAAACTAAATTGAATCTTCCCAAAAAAGTTTGGCAACCATCATAAGTATGTTCTTATTTAATTTCTACTTTCACTTGATTTGCATTTTTAGATATTCTGACCTACTTGAGATTAAGTAGGTACTAAATTGTTTTAAACACATATTACAAAATGTTGTTATGAAGCAACAATGATATCATGTTTCAACCACGATTTTATTACATGTAGTTTATCTAAGTAAAAAATAATCCTCCATGGCTACTCATTGCAAGCGATGTTAGGATGTCTACGGCAAAATTCATCTCACCATATACATGCTACTCCACCACCCATGTCCTATTTGATAACTTGCGGATATCAATTTCGTCTTTTAGTAAATTTTGATAAGTTTAAGAACAATAATTACTTGAAATCCTGATAAACAAAAAGAAAGAAATTTAGTACCTATTTAAGTCTGTTCATGTATAATTCAATTCCCATGTTCGTCTTATTTTTATTTTCAAGATTTTTTACTATTTATATAAATTATATTTTTAAAATTCACTAGCACAGTTCATAATGTAGTTTTTAAAATTATAATCCAACTTTTGTGCCCTTTAACAGTAAATAAAAAAAATCCAACCCAATAAATTCTACTTAAATATTGGTAAAATCCCCTTTACAAACCCTTGGTAGGAGTTGAACCTAGATCTACTCCCAAAAGGCACCATTTTTTTTTTAAGTAAATAGAAAGGTAAGGATGATTCTTAGGTTCCAACTGGCACAAAAATAGTCGAGGAGTATGCCCAAGAGATATGTTTTCAGCCAGCCAGTGCCAGATAGTACCAAGCACCCAAGGGGTATACCCAAGGGATGAACAGATATACTCTCCAGTTCTCTAGTCTCATCCCTCCCCTGTATTTTTATTAAATATGAATGCCAAGGGCAGTGCATCAAACTAACCCATGGTAATTACAAATAGGGCAAACTACACAAAGTGTAATCAAAGCTATAATAAATACCTAGACCAAATGACCTATAGGAACCATTACCTTACGCGGAGGTAGGGTAAGGCATTTTCATCTAAAATCAATAACCCTTTTGCGTCGGAGAGCAAGGAGCTATACCCTTCATAAATCCTGAACATCCCTGAGGAAGCTGATCTAGCCAAGCTGTCCGCAACCGCGTTGGTCTCCCTATATACGTGAGAAATGATATATTGCCAGATATGCATGATACTCCGGATCTCCTCTGAAACTAACCAAAACCTCCATGGAAAAGGTCCTCCATTCGCCAAATAAGAGCCAACGCCTGATTATCTGTCCGGACCTCAACTCGCTCTATGCCTAATAGTACACATTTCCTAATTCCAAAGAGTAAACCATAGGCTTCGGCCATAAAGCTATCGCCATGTCCAAGATAACTCGATTCAGCATAGACAAAGTTCCACAATCCCCACGTATAATGAATCCATAACCTGAATCATGTTCTACACAGGAACCATCCGAGTTTAAACAAAAGGCACCAGGAGGTGTTCTACAATTGCACTACCTTAACAGTTCTCTTTACTTGACCCACTAGCAAATTAAAAAGAGAATCGAGGATGGCCTTTTCTGCTGGGTTTTCTGCTGGTGGCCAATGGATAAAAAGCATAATTTCCAATATTTGCCATGACGGCCTTTTTGATTGCATAATTGGACATCCAATACCCTCAAAGAATTCTCTATTCCTAGCCTTCCAGAGTTCTCATAACATAAATGTAGAAAGTACCTTTTGTACAGATGATTTTGCTGTTGTGAAGTTGCTGCTAAGCCACAAGGCCGATACAACATTCCTCAAGTTCCCAGAAGGCATAGCAATGTCAAAGAGTCCCAGGATGTGCTGGCAAAGTTTTCTTGATTCCGAACATTTAGAAAGAAATGGTTCCAACTATCATCACACTTTTTACATTGCTTGCACATGGATGGAAAACTGTAAAAGCCAATGCGCGCTAGAGAGCTCAGAAAAGGCAGCAAGAAGTTACTCAATTTCCACATAAAGAATGAAATGCGAACATGTAAAATTTTGTGCCAATAATTCCGAGAGATCAAACTTTCTGATTTTCTTTGCCGTATGGATTCAAATGCTGATTTAATAGTAAAACTTCCTGATATAGTTGGCTTCCAAACAAGTATATCATCCCTTTAGTAAAATTTACCTGATGATTTCTAAGGGAAGTCACAGTTGCAGCCGAAAGGTTCGACTGAAAATCATCTATGAAATGTTCCTTCCGCGCAAAAAACTCCTGAATTGTAACTCTGGGTGAGGTGGCTGCCCCGTTTGAGTATCCTAAATAACTCCAACATCTGACCAATCATCGTACCAGAAGCTCCTATCACCACCATTGATTAGTACCTTGGCATAAGGAGAAGCTGCTGAATTAACTTTTTCGATCCGAGTCCAGGATGTCCTCTCACGCGCAGAAGAAGATAATGACAAGATGAATTTCGTCCACAACCCTTGCTTCATTTTTATCTTCCACCAAAGCTTAATAGCGAAGGCTTTAAGAATATCACTAAATCTCCTCAGCCCTAATCCATTCTCGCTGGTTGGATATGTCAAAGCATCCCAAGATCGCCAATGGCGTTTAGCCTAATCATCCGTTCCTTGCCATAAATATTTTTGACATCGACGTTCAAGTGCTCCCAAAAAGCACATATCATGGCCACTAGGCTCTTTAAGAGCATGCTTTAGGCATTGATATTAGTCCAATTTTAAACACATTTTTCCTATTTTGCAATTTTATTTTTATAAATAATTTTTTATTTGACTTTTAACTGGATTTTACGACTACCCATTTTATTAATTTATGTCAATACTTTTAATTTGATCTAGAATTAGCTCATTTTGGAAAATAAAATTTTTAACATTGACTTGCAATGCAATGCCCATGCATAATACTAGTTTAAATAATGAGGATGTAGTTGGAGGACATCCTATGTAAGGAACACTCGCTTTAGATAGGGGTGAATGGATTTTCTTTGAGGTAGCTCGGGGTTATATATCTATATTCGTGGATAACGAAGAGGCTATTGTAGATTGTAAACAGAAAACCAAAAAAAATAATGTTTCCAAAGTACATTGCAAGGAAAGCTAACAACTAAGTCGTGATAAATGAGCGTATGAATGTAGCGCAAGATAAATCCACCAGCTCCATAAAACTCTTTTATAGGATAAAGTGATCACAAGTCTCATCTAATCTTCAAACTTATAAAAGAATATTTAAAATTCCATATCGTGTTCGAACAACATATTAAACTGAGATTAAGTATGTTGAAGTGATTCCATATCGTGTTTCAATTGAAGAAAATCGCCAAGGTTCATGAACCATTTTATAGACCAAAAACATGAAAAGTAGTTAGTTTCACTGCCAAATATATATACCTAATTTTCTTGCATTTTTCATATGCATAAACCAAAGTTTCTTAATTTCAAGGGATAGATATATGTAAACCGAAACATGATTAATTGACATATCAGGTACAAGTTTATTGATTGTGTTGTGTTGATTGTTTTATGTAGTTGCTTTGTTATGTTTGATTTGTTGCTTAGAAATTATTTATTAAATGTGAAACCACGAATTTGCTCTTTCAAGACTCGGAATTCCTAATCGCAAGCATGATAAATTCCTCATCTTTTTCAAATGCAACATATTCTTTTAATTCATTAATTAGTTATGATTAACTGGGTAGGTATGTTACATAAGCTTTTATATTGTTAACAATCCGGGGCGGAGCCGTATGATGCGAGAGTGTCACACAACCTCTATTTTAAGTCAAATTTGTTCAACTAAACTCGATTAAGTGTTGCAAAGACTAGAACCCAACAAAGAAAAAATAAAGTAAGTAGTATCTACATTCATAAAATAAAATGAATGCAATAATGACTAGACCAATAAGAAAGGAAAAAGAAGAAAGAAGAAGGGCACCACAATTTCTTAAGTTATAAAAAAAGTTGCATTTCATGTCACGGTCAATTCTCTCACATCATTTTCTAAACTATTTCATTCCAAAAAAGTTCATGCTCCTTATATGTCATCCTTTGACTAATACAGGCTGGAGTACCAATAAAAAAAGGTAAGTAAAAAACTTGTCTAAATAATGTAATGTACCTTATATGATACAAAATCCGCACCTTCTAATGTAGTAATTAAAGAGAATGGTTCTTTGAATAAATTTGACACACTTGGTAATTTCCATAATAAAATTTGAGTTTGACGAATGTCATGTAACTCATACTTCATCCACTATAAAGCCCCATTCTTTTCTTTTTTTTGTTTCTAAAACATATCACCAACCCTCCTCTATAGTTTCTTAGGATATATTTTTCTTAGCAAATCATGGTGAATGAAAAAATAACTAGGGGTCGCCAAAAAGTGAATATGGTAAAAATGACCAACGAGAGCAACCTTCAGGTGACGTTCTCAAAGCGTCGTAAAGGTTTGTTCAAAAAAGCGAGTGAGCTCTGTACCCGAACAGGGTCAGAGCTTGCTGTTGTGGTCTTTTCTCCCGGGAACAAAGTCTACACTTTCGGTTCCCCGAGCGTGGATCAAGTCTTAGAAAAGTACGAGACTAAGGCTCCACACTTCATCGCTCCGCAAGGCTCAACCAATGAGCCACACCAGGCAAATAGTAGCACTAATACGCTTAGGCTTACTGAAGAGCTCAATCCTCTGGAAGATCACATGGATGCCATAAAGAAAAAAAGCGAAAAACTCACACAGATGGCGAGTGCCAATCATAATCGTTATTGGTGGAAAGCTCCCATTGAAGAGCTTAGCGTGGAACAACTTGAGTACCTGAAGCTTGCTTATGAAAAGCTGGACAGGAGGGTTCACATTCAAGCACAAAAAGGATTGCCTCTAAATGCTAATTTGTTTACCAATTTCAACATCCCGGGACCAAGTCATCCCAATAATGCCTTTTTAGGTTATGAATCCCAACCACTACTACCCCCTCCAAACATTCATTACCCAGCTATGCCTTCAGGATCTAATTATGCGGGTCTAACCCTTTCAAATGACATCATCTCAGTTAATAATGGAGCCTCATTTGCTGCTAATCAGGGACCACCTGGATATGGGGCTACCAATTTAGATCCAAATGCACAAGTACCATCTGGATCCAGGGCAGCTTTTCCTTTTGATGATCCAAGTGCACCTGGTTGGTGGCCATGATGGACCTTTCGGAAATCTGAATACGTTCCCGAGTTTGGATTGCTTAGGTTTTTTATGATTGGTGTCTTATGGTATCCCGTCGATGTTGTTGTAACTTGATAGGGTTTTCTTATAAGCGTATTTTAAGCGCTTTGCTGTTGTTTTTGTTTTTATTTTTATTTTTTTTTTTTGGTCTTGTTGTGTAATTCCTTATTATCTTTTATGCCCAGATGAAGGAATTTGTTTGTTTCTTTTTATTTTTGTTTTATCAATTCAATTTGTGTTCTTCATCCTTTCCATTTTTCATTTCTTTGTTTGTTCAAGTATTTTTCTATCATCAGTAGATCTGACGAATCGATTTGTTCAAATAAAATATACTTTTTCTTCTTTAAATAGAAGTATACAGTTTCTTATAACAATATCAATCTATTTGTGTTTTGATAAATATATGTAACTATTTTAAAGTCTTAAACCTGCTTACAATAACAGATTATCAAAATTCATTCTTTTACACCTTTATATTTTCTTACATTAAGATTTTAATGGAGTAATATCTAGTATATATTTTCTATAAGAAGATGAGACCTTTTTTAGATAATGTTTCAAAGAACTCATGTTTTTGCTTCTTTATTTGATCTCATCTTACATACAATTTAACTGATAAAACTTTTATCTTTATGGAATATATAATGATGTTAATTAAATTGTTTTGATAAGTTGACTTTGATAAATATAAATTTGTCTTTAATTTCTATATGTTATTGCCAACTAATGCTCTTCCCTATGGTTTTAAGCTTATCGCATGTTTCCAAATGACCGTAATACCCCTCAATACAAGAGATAATCTATGTTGGTCTTTCAAGCGAAATAGGAATGCCAAATTGGTTAATTTCTTTATTCCAACAAAACAGAAAAAATTAAGAAAGTAATTTATTAAACATTTAACAACAATTGGACTCATCATAGAAACTTGTCTCGGTATCCAATGCCGTCAACTGAATAAATATATGTATGTATATTAAGAAAAACCCAACTTTAATGTATGATATATGTAGCTACATGTATGGATGTTTGTGGTGAACGTATAACTAAAAAGAGGGAGAAAATATTTGAAAGATTTGATGAGGCTTTACATATAGCAATAGGTATTAATTGTTTTGTTTAATTTCAGTAAAATTCAAAAATAATTTGTTTGTGCCATATATAATTGTTATCTTCTCAAGAGATCTAGAGTAACTTTAATGTTATAAAATGAAAGGAGTGAGTCGTCCTTTAAAAAAATGATGAATTAATAAGTAGGTTAATTAGTAATATGTACCAATGCATGGTACACATTAGTATCAAAGTCTTAACAACAATTTACTCATATCAAAAATAGGAAACCATAAACGCAATCTATTAGATCTATACAATTTCAAATTCCTTGAAAAAGTCTGCACTATTATATATAAAATCACACCATATACAAATATTTAACCATGAGACACAAAAAAAAAAACCCAACTTAATACCCGATAAATTGTAATCAAATATCAAAATCAAAAGGGTTAGTATATGTAGCAAATAAACTGCTTGTTGAGTCATAATTTTAGAGTTGTTGTAATCCATTTGTTGAGGGAGTGTCTTGCCAGGCTTTTAGCTCTACAACGAGACAATTTTCTCGAGTCGAGCCTCTTCCTCTACCCAATTTTAATTTCAAGCTGTAAATCTTAGAAAGTTAGAAATCATGGTGATTTCTGCCTATTGCCTGTTAGCCTCTTGAGCTACAAACATCATAATTACAACAAGGTTTTGTACCTAATCATTCATACAAAACCGTTCTAATATTTTGGATACATTTCAGATATTATCACGCATTATAATAGTTGCAGAAGGGTTTGTTGGAAAAATTCTCATAGAATTCTGAGACGTCAATTTATGGACGTGAGATTGTGCAAAATTCAATGTAACAGCTTGAACATGACTATTATAATAAAACATTAAATCAATTCCTTTGACATCATATTCTCTCTTATTTTTGGAATCTATGCTAACCCGTCTATTTGCACTTTATGCAGGAATAATGTGGAAACAGTTCAGCACATTCTCCTTGATTGCAAAATTTCCAAATCAGTTTGGATATTCTTCTCGCACTTATTCAAAGTTGCATTACCACCACAACATCCCTATGGCACATGATTCAACTTTGGTGGTCAATTGGAAGCTTCAATTGAGCAAGGAAGGCGGCGGTAATGGTAGTCCCAATTTTCATCTTTTAGAAAATTTGGAAGGCTCGAAATCGTTCCATTTTTTTACGGCAAAGGCTTCTCATCAATACAAATACAACACTTCGTTTTGGACCAAATCAGGAATCTTTTGATTGTCCATTCTCCTCTATTGCGGAAAAACTTTGAGCATTCATTCATGTATTCAAGGTTTCCAAATATCAATTTTGTCCTAAAGGGAAAAGTCATTAAGGCAGTTAAGTTGAGAAGGCCGCAGCTGAACCATTTCATATTAAAAACGGATGGCTCAACTCTCCAAGAACAAAATCCATCAGGCTATGGTTTTGTGATTTGGGGTCATCATGGCTCTTTTATTTATAGTGAAGCTGGTTTTATTGGACAAGGAGACAGTTTCTTAGCAGAAATCAGTGGACTCCTTTTCGGATTAAGAAGATGTGGGATAATGAAGCTCACAAATTTTGAGGTCCAAACTGATAACCTTATAATTGCTACACTTCTCCAATCAGACAGAGAGCTACCTTGGCGCTTCAAATCAGACCTTCAAGAAATCAAATTCCTAATCCATAGTCTGAAATACACCATCATCCATGTTTATCGTGAAGCCAATGATGTTGCTTATAATCTTTCTAATATGGCTTCATCTGGACTATCATGAGGCTTTCATAATTTTAGGGACCTTCCATTCACTACGAAAGGTCTTCTTGATTAACAAGAATTTTCATATCTCAAAATTAGATAGATGGTAAGTCATAAACACTGCCATTTTCTGTAAATTTAATTTTTAATATATTAGGTTCCATCTTCACCAGGTTCCACCCTGGTTTCCACTAAAAAAAAGTACTGGTTATTCATTTGAGAGAAGAAAAGGGATGAAATAGCTATTGACACACTCCTTCATATATCAAAAAACATACTCCCTTCATTTCAAAATAGATATGGCCGCAGGAATTTCATCAAGGGTACTAGAATTCCATTGTTTTTGGTTGGTGATCAAGTTCTTACCCTAATGACAAAAGGGCAATAGATAAATATTTGTTTTGTTAGCTGTTGTCTGTTATTACTTTTTTTTTTACTTGTGTAGAAATTTTTTAGTCTTCTAAATTTAGTGTAGCATTAAATTTCTTGTTTTGCTCTTTGAACCTTTTTATGTAGCGAATCTTGTCTTATAAAAAAATACTCTTGTATAAGTAGATACTCTTTGCCATTGGTAATAAGAACTACTTTTTGTCTTATAATAGTAATCTTTTTATACATCTGACAATGATTTAATTATGTTAAGGGTTCATCACATAAGTTTTAAACTCTTACAATTTAATTAACATACATAAATACCTATGTGGTATATTACCTATAACTAGCATTGGGTTGGGTTCCAAGTGATTATATAATTATACTTTTTTCTTTTCTTTCTTGCCAAAAGGAAAAAAAGGAATATTGCTCTTATATATATTTGTCAACCTGTTATATTGAGTGACTAGAGTGTTTCAACTTAGCATTACCACATTGATCTAGTTTATGACTCTGAGTAAAAGATATTTCCCCAAGTTTAAGATATTTAGTCTCTTTTAGCAGGAAATATTTTCGAAGGGTTACAGATGTTAGATGAGGTTCCAAGTCATGACTAAAACACAATACACAATTGGGGTTTTTTTTACCCCACACAATATTCAAATTCAACAATTTCAACCTCTGGACCAAATCTGCATCTTTCTTGTGTAAAACAGAAAACAGAGAGATAAGTTTAGTTTGAGGAAATTATTTCCAAGGAATAACGTTATCTTTTGAAATGATGATCAGTAAGATTATTTTTTATTTGAAGATTAGATACACCGCTAGCCAGTGTGGGCTCTAGATTTTGATAATATCTACTGTACAGCGGTTGCACCGCGTAAGATTGTGTAGCCATTGACAAAAAATGGGTGAAGATATAATTTTACATCTTTTAGTTAGGATAAAAATAGGAGGCCATGATGTTTTTAATGTAGACCGGGTCTTTTGATCGCCCAAAGATTTTTACAGCATCTACTAGTTAATTTGGACTCGCTAAGACCTTTACCAGCCAAAAAGAAAGAATTATTTGCTGATTATTTGAGTAACTCTATACTAACAGTCTTTGGCTAGAGATAAAATGAGTCTGGCAACGTTAACTAAACCTTAATGATCCATGATTAATTGACTAAGTTAAAAAGGGTCATTGAATTCATTTTTCGCTTTTTCCCTATCATTTGTCATTAAAGTCAAAAAAGATATATCCGTTACATAGATCTTTTGTACAAAACCACCATCGAATATAATTGATGAGTTATGAGATAAACTAACACAAAAGTGAACCGCAATTATGCAAGACGACAAACCACATATATCGGGCATTGGCCTCCTTACATTGCCTCTCTATTTATACGGTTTTTTTTGAGTTGCTCATACACTTAATTAAGCTCTCACACAGTTACACACTGAAATAAAACTTGAGCACGACTTTCTTCCTCAATAGCTCACTTTTGTTTTGGAGCCATCAACCGGAGTCAAACACAACGCCATCAATGCCACTATTTCCTTATCCACATTTATTGTTCATTTTTACTGTTTTTTCATGACTTGCTCTAACCGAAAACATATTGTCTCTTCAGGTTTGGACTGCAGCTATTGCTTATTCCAACATTGACGGTAGTTGTTTTGAATTGTAATCCCATCCAGATTTAGGATTACTTCTCCGAATAGCAATACTTTAGTGATGTGATTGCAACTATTGAGTTTGTAAACAAATTTTAAGGAAATTGGACACTCAGTCTTTTGACG